AAAATTTTTTATATTTTTAGCAAGTAAATTTTCTAATGGTAAAAAGCCTTAACAATCCATATCACCACCAAATATAGGAACAGTAAATGGTGGAATAAGGTTGAAACTCCTAGGAGACTAGAATCAAGACATCTTTTCAAAAAATTGTGGTAGATATTTAGGTGATTTATTTTTTAATCTGAAATAATTATATATTCACAAGAAGTTGCAAAGAGAGTATAGAGAGTTCCCTTGTGTTTCTTCCAATGCTCATATCTTATATAATTATAGTATCAAAGCCAGGAATTCAATATTGATACACAGGTATAGATTTACTTATATGTATGCATGTAATGACGACCATCTCAATCGAGATACAAAACTAAAGATCTCCTTCTTGCTGGTCCTTCATAGTCATACTCTGTCTCTCCTTCCACGATCTCTAACCCCTAGCAATCACCAATCTGTTCTCCATCTCTATGATTTTGTCATTTCTGAAATGTTATATAAACGGAACTATATAGAATGTGACCTTTTGTAACTGGCATTTTTCACTCAGCATAATGGCCTTGAGATCCTTCCAAGTTGTTGTGTATGTGAAGTTCCTTTACTTGTATTGCTGAGTAGTATTCCATGGTGTGGATGTATCAGAGTTGTTTATCCACTGACCTATTAAGGGACATTTGGCTGTTTTCTGTTTTTTATTTTTTGCTATTAAAACTAAAGCTGCTATGTATAGGTTTTTGTGTGGATCTGAGGTGATTTGAGAAGATTTCTAAAATATATAACAAATTAAAAAGGAGCATAAAAATAGGATGTATATTAGCTCCCATCTTTGCACAAAAATTACTACTAATGATAACAGGGATAAAGCTTGGGGGTGGGGGAAGCCAGAGAAACTTGGGCACTTTCTCCAAGACTAGCACTTTTTAAACTAGCACAAAGACTAGCACAAAATCATCTATTTGTTACTGCTTCCTCTAATTCTGTGTTGCTTATTTTTATTTTTATCATTTCCCACCTAGGGAAACATTATACATTTTTTTTCTAATTGCCCCGTTCCCTCATGGTATTTGAATGCCACAGATAAGCTGGATATCCATTTATGTACTATATGTATATCTGTGCTTTTTACATAAAAAGAGTAAATTCTTTCTTAACCACAAGAATCAATTGTCATACTTTTTTTTGGTTATACCAACACTCAGCTGAGAATGTGTACCCCAAGGTCATGAAAACATACCAGTGAAAACAGTGTTACATGCATGATTAGAGCAAAAGGGGTAGGTAGCCAAGGGCTGGCACCTTCTAAAATCTTGGCTCCATTTCTAAACAGTAGCACACAGTTGACATCCACAACTATTCCCCTGTATTAGAATTTGGTTCCCCTTGTGTGTGTGTAAGCCTTTGCAAGGGTGTATTTGTGTGTGTGTGTGTGTGTGTGTGTGTGTGTGTATAGACATATATACACACATACACACACAAATACACATATATACATATGGGTATATAATAGAAAAATGTTGAAAAGATTCACAAGAAACCAATAACCATGAGTGGAAATGGGAGCCCCAGAAAAACAAATGAATGAGCATACATTTCTTATGAAATGCTTTTTTAGTTTTATTTTTTCTTTTTTCATTACAATGAGTACATATTACTTTTTAAATGGAAATAGTTTTTTAAAAATTACTGTTAATCAGCCCATCTTCCATTATATTTAGCAGTCACTTATTATTCTAATATCTGAATTATATGATGAGGCCAACCAAGAGATATTTACAAAATAAAGTAAAACCCTGAGCAACCACTGAAGACATATGCAAGCATCTTGACAATCTAATGCACAGGGTCTGTCGTTGAGCCTTCTCAATAGCCCAGGGTTTTCCAGCATTTGCAGTGTTCTATGTCCTCTGGGTAAAAATTCAGGAACCTAGACATATTAAGTTCTTAGCCTATATTATAAAATTTACACTTGCCTCTGAATTGTCTCTTTAATAATTACAATAAGCTTAAATAATACTGTTATTTTCCAGTATTGCCTGAACAATTCTCCAAAACTTGCTATTAGTTTTAAAAATCCCCTAACAACATCATAAGAAATAGTGTCAATCTAAAATTAATTTGATTCTCCCACATTTGAAAAAATAAAATCAATTCAAATACAATGCTAAAATGTATACACTGTGAGTGAAATGACTTCTATCCTGTGGAACTTAAATTGTGCAAGGATTTTTGTTCTTAAATTGTCTCTTATTTAATGAGAGGAGGGGTGGTGAGGCAGGGAGCAAGCCGAAAGCTACACAGCAGAATTGAGCAGACTAATGTTGAGTGAGAGAGGCAGGGCATATGGCGAAATAGCAGGTGTTTCCTTACCCCTCACTGTTGCTTCTAACACTATTGCTCCTTAGGACTGGGCACGATGCCACATGTTCTCTTTTATTATTCTGCATCTACTCTGTGTACTCGCTGGCACATTGGAAGATATTCAATAAATGTTAATTTAATTGATGGTCTTCATTGTCATCATTTTTGCCATCCTGGGCCACTTTGGCACCAGTTAAAGTGTATCTTTTAAACTGTTATGAGAAGGCTGCCAAGGTTTTTTTTTTTTAAGATAACTATCTCATCTACAATGCAGCTAAGCTATTCATATTTACACCTAAGTTCATCTTTTAGAATTAATTGGATACTTAATTAAATGTTCAATAAATTGAGCTGAAGGAAGCAGGGCAGATGAATATTTTATCTTCCAAAGTCAAACACTAAAACTCTCTCTTATGTTGTGGCTTGAGAGAGACTTATGCATCACAACTGATAAAAACAACAGACAAGAAAAGAAGCAACCCTTATAGCTGTCACTATTGTTTCAAATCTTATAAGAAGTAAGAAGTCATTTTAATCCCATTGTGATCCCTCAACAATCTGGGTTTACATTTTATTACTCAGTGTGCAGAAAGTTTAACTTTTTATGAGTTCCATTATTCAGTGACTTAAGTCAGGATTACTTCAGACATTGAAAGTTTGTTACTAAAATTATTCCATTTTACCATATCAAGATATCTTGTAATATATTTAAGAAATCAAAAGTGACTTACATTTGCTGAAAGTTGAGATGTTAGGGTAGCAACTTTTTCCTGTGATGCAACCAGTTCTCTCCGTAGTTTATGGATTTGCTGAATGCAATTAAAAAAAAAAAATCAATTCAATAGGCTAGTAGATTTTTACTTAAAATCAAGAATTTAATCCAAGAAAGCAAATATTATATTTAGCTCATTCTATCCCCACCGTATTAGCACCAATTTCTGAAAAGAAAAGAGATATGAACACTGGCTACACAGTAATCAAATGTTACTCATACAAAGAGGGGTGAGTGTCTAGCTTCAAAGCTCATACTCAAATCCACAAATCAAAGGATGCTTACTTGTTCCATTTGCCATCCCTGCATGATTCAAGAGGCACTTTACTTTCTATATTGATTATCTTTCCTCTAGAAAATTGTAGTAATAAAATTGAAGTAGAAAAATATTTTTTTTGCAAAAATTAAATACAAATATATATATTTTATTGGTCTTTTTTTAGCGAAAGGTGTATTCTATGTTACTTTTCTGAAAATCTCAGGAATTTTTTCTGTGTACATTTTAATTTTCTATGTTTAGCAACTCCACAGAAGCTATAGAATATCCTATAGTCACTGAAACTTGGGTTTAATTCAACATTTAATGAGTCTATATTTGAAAATTTTATTGGCTAAAGTTATATAACTGAGAGAGAAGCCTTCCCAAAAGTGTATTACACTGCCATTTATGCAATGAGTTATCATTAGCCCAGAGTAAAAATTCTTTATGGATTATCTATAGTTTAAAAATAAGAGAAAACACCAATAATAGTATGCAACTAACTAGATAAACCAACATAATGAATATTCTAAAATGTCTTTCTTTTCAGTTACATTCATACTCCAATAAAACTGAAACAGAAAAAGGTGAAGGTATATCATATCATGCTTAAAATTCTAATTGGAGCACTTTCTGTAGTTTAATCTGCATGTCTCATGTTGTCATGAAATGTAAACAGTGATTAATGAGGATAGCACATTTTTAATGATTTGAGACTAGGTACTACGAGTATATTTCTGATCCCAAGGGATTTTAGTTACTTAGATGCCAAACATTCTACTATGAAGCTTCTCATTTCTTCAAAAACAAGTCTTCTGTTGTTGTAGTTGAACTGTTAGAATGCTGTCTCAGTTTGAAAGAGCATTCTTGACATAGTTTATGAACTGTTTTTTTTTTTCTCTGTACATTAGATATTGTGGAAAAGAATTGGTGGTCAATATTGAGAGACTCTAAAAAAAAAAAAGAAAACTAAGCTAGAAGCAGAGATAGTAGACATTTATGTAAATTTCACCAATTGTGATTTCATTTCATTCCTCTTTTTTAAAAGGATAAACAACTCAGTCCAAAATAACATTTGAGTTACATTTATATGATGATGAACATGAATAATTTCAGAAAGCAAAGAATCTATTTTATTATTAAACTAATACAAACTCAAAGAACTTTTCTCAAATTAATAGTCTCTGTTACATGACTCCAAGTCCTTTAAAATACAATCTAGGAAACTGTAAAGTGATTTAAGTTTTGTTCAAAAACCGTGACCCATTATAGGGCATAAATGATAAAAGGAAAGTTGGATAACTACTAACCATGCAAATAAATGTAGCATTTCTGTACTTCAGTAGTTATATTTAGACCAATGTTAGAAGTTTTGCCATGTGCATGTGATGTAAATAAAATAGTTTAAGTTTTAAAAAATCATATTCACACTTTGGTCCAGCAATTATAAATTGGTATAATCAATATTTTTAAACATAGCACAAATTTTACTTGAAATAGTTAATAAAATAAGATTCACAGGAAAGAAGCTCCTTTGCAAAAGCTGTTGCCAAGGCATTTATTTTCTCTGTGGTCCGACTGCCTCAGTGTAAACCAATTAAATAGTCATTACCTCACTTTGAACAAAGTCATAATTAAAATCCTCCTTCTCTCTTTGGTCAGGACAAATCTTTTACAAAGGGAAAGAAAAAGAATATTTCTCCAGGTTGCAGTTTGATTTGCATGATTGCAATAAAGTATGTATTTGTGAAATGTGTGTGATTAGAACAATAGACTACACTGACATAAAATAGTGATTAGAAGCAGCAAGGTCATGGCACAAAATAGATGGTCTGGGATGCTGGTATCTTGTGTTGTGGAGGCTTGATGCCTAAGATTTAATGGTTCCGTTAGTCCTATGCAGATGGTTTCACCGGTAGTGGGGAAAAGACTAATAAAATAGACCACAGGTCTTCATTCATTCATCAATGCTGTAATGAGTACTTACTACCGGAGACAACTTATTAGGTGTTGAGCCAAGGTTCAATCTAAAATGTGAGAGGAGAGCTTCCTGTAAAAACTTCCTTTGATTTTAAGAGGCAATATCAAAGGCCATTTATCAACTAGCTGCCTTTCTTCAGTAGTCCTGTAGAGTTCTGCTATTGTATCACATAGCCCTCTAGTGGTAACAACATTAATTTCATCATAAATGTAAACCAGTTCAATATTAAAATGTTGCAAGATTTTTACCTCTGAATGAGCCTTTTCTTCAGCCTGTAAAAAATAAAAGGAGATAGAATTTAATTATAAAAACTAATTTCAATTAATTCCACAAGTATAAATGAATAAAATAATTATATGTATTTAAAATGTCTTTATGATCTAACATTAGAGTGAAATATATAGTTATTAAAATAGTAAAAACAGGATACTTTAAAATAAATACCTCTTTATATATGAAACATAAAGTATTTAAAAAATATAGGTAAGTTGATCCATAGATATATAATACGTCGTAAAAGAAAAAGATAGAAGTATCAGACCCTAAGATCTAAACCATAGTAATAAAAACAAAATAGTTATAAAATTAGATGCTAAAAAAGATGGGTGCATAAAAAGTTAAAACATTGGATCATTTTTATACAGACTGTAGGAAATGGATTCCATGAAATTATAGAGATCTGTAGCCAAGCTTTAGGAGTCAGAATTTTTCTTTGATTTACTTATCATAAAGAATGAAATATAAAGATGGGGGGGAAATTGACCTCTGCTGATAACCACAGAAAATCAACATTATTAGTTTCTATTTCCTTTTCCTTTCCCTGATAATTATTCCCTAAGTTTATTGTAAGTCAGTAAAACACTAAAAGGCCCAGTGTTAAGGTGGTGATGAAAGTGGCTGGCAATTATCTTTGCTATACAGCTATGGAAATGAGGGCTGCCATAGGAACTTGCAGGGTATATTTGACTTCAGTTGCAGAAAATTCCTAGCTCTGTTTTTCTTCTTCATGCTGGGCTGCAAAATGCCACAAAATGAGTTATGTGCACCATTACATGTGGGAACTTCCCTCGTCCTGTGAATAGCTGGAGAATAGTCAAAGCTGAACATCAATTTCTTATCTCCTATCTCTACTTTGAGGATGGGGTTGCAGGTTAACTGATGCAAAAATACCTGAACTGCTTTCTATCTCTTTACCTCCAGAAAACATGAAATAAAACAAAGCAACATAACCATCAGTATGTACTTTATGCATAAGCATCTCTTTTAACTTGAATTTTGTCTTTCCTATATATTTTCTACCTTTTAAAAAATGTTGGTAATCACAGTGGTTATACTTCAAACTGTATTTTTTTCTTTTTATTCTTTAGTCTTTCCAAGGCTTCACAAAAGTAGTTTTATCCAAATATTGCTGTTGCTTATATTTAAAATATGATTATAATGATGCTTCAATCTTTAGAGATTTAAATTGCAATGGTTTAAGTCAGAATACAACTCCCCAACTAGTAGCAGCATTGACCCAATAGGAGGAACACTAAGTCTCAACACATTTCTTTTGTGTTTTTTTCCAGTATTTTTATATTTATAACTTTATCCATTAGCCTATAAGAGCATACTTATTTATGTGAACATTAATAGCGATTTCTTAATTTATAGAACCTACTGATAAATTTAATCATTAAAAGGAGAAATAAGAAAAATATTGTTTCTGCTAATGACAGTCTGATCTAGAGTGAATGTCTAAAGCAGTAAATATGTAAGGTTAACTTATATATAGAAGGCTATGACATTTGAATCTAATGAAAACGAGTGAAAAAATTAGTATTGCCCCTAATGCTTAATGGATCAGTGACAGCCAAAGCTGTGACCTTCTCATGAACCTTTCAATACAAAATTAAGGATTATTCATAACACTCAAAGCTTACTGAAATTTAGCATATACCTCACTGTCACCTAGGCATAAAGGTGCCCTCCCATAAAACATAACTTCTTGTAGGCTACCGTTTTAAAAAAAGATGAAATTATATTCAGTGGGCAGAAAAATTCCTCTTGTCAAAAATAAACTATAATTTCACACATTGGCAAAAGAAGTTGAAACACTGGCATTCTTAAGAAATAACGTTTTTAAAATCACACTGTATATCAAAAGATGTATTTTTAAAAATCTCTATCTAGTTCTTCTAGGCCTTTAGTTTTTGGCATAATCTTCTGAGAAAATGAATTTAAAAAATAAAAAATAAAGAGGAAAAATATCAGAATAATTAACAGCCTTGGTTCAGGAAAACAAAGAAGGAAAACTAGTCAATATTATGAAAATATGGTAAAGCATAATATACGGTTTCAGGGACTCCAAGGCATACCCCAATAGATTTTATGAAATTCAATTTTATATCCATTTATTGATTACAATGAATACGTAAAAATCAAGTGGAAGCACGTATAAGTGGGATTCAGCATGGCTGGTAGAGCACCTTCCAGCTCATTGGGTTTGCAGTAGCTTAGATTATGCCCTCGTTTCACTGCACAACTTTTGTGTAAATGTCACAGATGTACGTGATCTATTAACAGTAAAATGATCTCGTTAATCATCTGGGTGCATGGCCAAACTAGAAGCCTTTTCTTAACAGCCAATACTTACCGTGGAATAAAGAGAAGAAGTGCTGGAGACCAATGACAACGAAGAGCCGTGAACTGGAGAAAACGTGAAGAACGATAGCGTTAAAATAATAATGTCTACTCATAAACTCCGGGCCTCTACTGAAAAAGTAAAGAACAGGTGGTTTGGGAATAAAATAACAACATCTAACTATAAGATTCTGAGAAAAAGACAGCTGTAATTTTTCATATATCAAGATGTTGAGACATGAAAAAGCCCCATACATATTCCCTAAAGTACCTCGTTCACAAAGTTATGGAGACAAACTGACAAACATGGGCCCTACCAGCTTATTTTGCACATATTGAAAGCTATAAAAAACTCCAATATTAAATACATAGAAAATTATGGAAACTTGAGCTAAAGTTGCCATAAACTTTTACACTTTTTAAAAAAGTTATATATTTCATTTATTTTATTTCATTTTTATACAACAAAGGTCCAGTTTCAGAATTTTTGTCCATATGCTTTCAGAGAAATAAGCATTTTTATTCAACTTGCTATTTCAACATTATCTGTGATGCATTGATAATACATTATTGTTTCTTTAGCAATTTTAGTAATAGAAAAGTACTCCTTATCTCAAAGTGGTATCTCACAGAAATTAAAAATGGAAATTGCATACTGTCTTTTATTTAAGTATATCAAAATATTGTCTTAAACATTTAAAAGCCTGCTTTATACTTCTGTACTTCCAATGTATTAAACCCAAAAGGTGCATAAAATTGTGCTTAATTATACTTGCAGAAAAGTTTCTCCTCTTTTCATTGTGGGATAATATAGTTATTTCTGCTCATTGTCCATTAAACAAACGTTAGATGAGCATGAGCACTGTGACAAGCCCTTGCTAGATACTGGCCCTACAATAATAAATAAGACCCAATCCTAGAAGCTCAAAAAGAAATAGAAAGATATAATTAAAAAGTAGTTACAATAGCATAATAGAAATACTATGGAGACCAATGTAGTAGGTACTTCAAGAGCATATGGAAGGTGCTTATAACCCAGTCTGGAGAGGGCTGGAAAGGCTACACTAGGATCATGGCAGCATGGATGAAACAAGGGGATGAATTTGAGAGATAACAAGAACCTCTTTAAAACTGAGTGTATATCATCAAATTGGTATTAACTGATCAACACATAAATGCACATATAAGAATAACATCTATTGGATGTTGGGCAGGGGGGAGGGGGGAGGGGATGGGTATTTGCATACACAAAGAGTACAGTGTGCACCACCCGAAGGATGGACATATTTGAAACTCGGACTTGGGGGGGGGGCAAGGGCAACATACGTAACCTGAACATCTGTACCCCCATAATATGCTGAAATAAAAAACAAAAACAAAAACAAAAACAACTGAGTGTATAGATTTCAAAAGAGCAATGAGGAAACCCCCTCCCCTCGATTTCTCACTTGGGCAAATACTACCACTCTGAGTTGTACAAAATGTTGTTCTTTCAGTAAGTTATTAAAAAAAATCTTTCTACCTTGAATAACATTTTTATGAACTAAAGTGTTAGCCTGGTGTACCAGAAGAAAGGTTGAGAATGAATCAGGTGATCTAATTTTTGTTCTTTTGATGCTACTTACTATTTATAGGACTATGATCTTATAGCACATGGCTCTGTCTCTTCATATGTCAGTGTGAGCATTGGGCAGGATGTCAATAACATCCCTTCAACCTAGCTCAATAATGTCCTGATTCTAGATCACAATTTAAGAATTATAACAATTCAGTATTCAATGCATGAACATCAAAAAGCCATCTTGTCCACTCAGGCTGACTTTCAGAAATTCAAATTATTTAATCCTCATACACAGAAGGCCAGAATTGCCCAGCATTTAAACATCATTCTACTTGTAAATGCTACACTCTAGAAAGTTGCCTGTATGCTTAATAAATCATTTATTTTTTTACCTTTTTATTTTTCATTTTTAATTATAATGGGCATATAATACTTGTATATCTTTATAGGGCACATATGATGCTTTGATATAGGCATATAATGTGAATTAATCAAATCAGGGGGTATCCATCACCTCAGGCATTTATTATTTCTTTGGGTTGGGAACATTCCAATTCCCCTCTTTTAGTTATTTTAAAGTATACCCTGGGCTGGGTGCGGTGGCTCACGCCTGTACTCCTAGCTCTCTGGGAGGCCAAGGCGGGCGGATTGTTTGAGCTCAGGAGTTCGAAACCAGCCTGAGCAACAGTGAGACCCTGTCTCTACTAAAAATAGAAAGAAATTAATTGGACAACTAAAAATATATAGAAAAAATTAGCCGGGCATGGTGGCGCATGCCTGTAATCCCAGCTACTCGGGAGGCTGAGGCAGGAGGATAGCTTGAGCCCAGGAGTTTGAGGTTGCTGTGAGCTAGGCTGACGCCACGGCACTCTAGCCCGGGCAACACAGTGAGACTCTATCTCAACAAAAAAATAAATAAATAAAAAAATAAAAAAAATAAAGTATACCCCGACTTACTGTTCATTATAATAACTTTGTACTATCAAATATTGTTCATTTTATCTAACTATATTTTTGTACCTATTAACCATCCCCACTTCATTCTCCCTCCTCACTACCCTTCTGAGACTCTGGTAATCATCATTCTACTCTCTGTCTCCATGAGACCAATTGTTTTTAATATTTAGCTCCCATATATGAGTGAGAACACATGACATTTGAGGAGGAAGGAATACTCCCAAACTCACTCTACAAGGCCTGTATCACCCTGATACCAAAACCACACAAAGACACAACAAAAAAAGAAAACTACAGGCCAATATCTCTGATGAACATAGATGCAAAAAAAAATCTCAAGAAAACATTAGCAAACCAAATTCAAAAACATGTTAAACAGATTGTTCATCGGGATCAAGTGGGATTCATCCCAGAGATGCACGTATGGTTCAATATACACAAATCAATCAATGTGATACATCTTATCAACAGAACAAAGGACAAAATCCATATGATCATATCAATTGATGCTAAAAAAAGCATTCAATAAAATTCAACATCCTTCATGATAAAAACTCTCAAAAAACTGGGTGTAGAAAGAACTTACCTCAACCTGATACAGACCCACAGCTAATACCATACTGAATGGGGAAAAACTGAAAGCCTTTCCTCTAATATCTGGAACAAGACAAGGATGCCCACTTTCACTGCTGTTATCTCTAAAGTATTATAAAAGGCTGTTTCAGAAAATCAATTACTTCATACTTCAGATTAGTTATATATTGTCCACCTGCACTGCAACCATCAGTGGACTCAACAGTGTATAATGCACTACCTGCCACAGTGAACTGACTGTTTTGGCTAATATCACAAAAGGTAGTGACAACTGTGATCTACTGATTTAGTACCAGCATATTAAATGTACTGTGATGACCTAAAAAACATAATTCAATTTTCATAGTCATCTAGACTTTTAGTCAGATGATACTTTAACTAAGAAGGTGGGAAGGAAAGAGACAGGAATAGAACAATACTCTCATTTTTATCATTGTGACAAACCTGTAAAATTATAGATGCAGAACCAAGGGCTGTTAAAGCTAAGAAACTTGTCCAAGTTCATACCATAAATAAATGAATGTCTAGAGGCTTAAGCCCTGGTTTATTTCAAGATTTTGAGTCCTTTCTTTTATATGTAGTTATTAAGGAGTAGGACAGTATGGAAGATTTTATGTTTGGTTTTATTCTAATCAGTTTAAATTTTTATGTTTAGTTTTATTTTATTCTTAGCTGACATGGGTTATACTATGTATTACACAAGTTTCCTTTATGGCTACTTTAAGAAAACAGCATTCATTGAAGAAAATAGAAAAATCTCTCAAGTTATTATTAGCAAATTTGACATTTGAGGTTATATAGTTTGGAAAAATATATACCTTTGATCATCAATTAAGCTTCCAGAGTTTTTAACACATTTATTTAAAGTATTCATATAGAATTATACAACTATAAAGATATTTATCAGATCAGGTGAGAATTTTATTGCCAGTATTGCTAAGAAAAATGATTCATAAAGCAAAAATTAGGTATAGCATGAATTCTAAAATGATGAGATAAGAAACAAACACCAGAGGGAGTTTCTTAGAATAAAAGTCAGCAGCACGTGATAGTTTTCATAAGATAATTTTTCTGGTTTGTATATATTTATGGCTCTTTAACTGAGGGTCAAACAAAACATTTTTTCTGATATGTGATGCATCTGGGTAATAGTTTCTAAAATTATGTATATTTTTGTATGAGAACATCGAATTTATCCTAAACTGTTTTATAGCCAAGTACTGATCTAACGAATTTTAGCATATTTCCAAGTGCATAAAGAAACAGAGGTTGATAAAGAATACAACCTTTTTATGCTTCAAGATTCCTAAATGAGAATTACACTTATTTGTTTCCTCTTCAGCAATCCTTATGATGTAAGTGATGCAATGTTCTCTCAGAGTTAAATAAAGTGACTTCAGCTTTATCACCACCCTCCCCCCTGCCACCCCACACTTACCTTCTTCCATGCTGTCTCTGAATGAGCCTGAATGACTGATGGCACGTGGCCTTTCCTCCAGAGAAGTGGCACTCCCACAAAGCTGAGCATCATCGTAGAGATCGAAGGAAGAGTCTTGGGCTGGGATGCTGTTTGAGCGCATCATGCTGGGCCCAGGAAGGTTAAATTGAGACAGATTTGTTGGACTCACTGAAAAACAAAGCACACACAGCCTATTACTCTGGGACTTGAGTGATAAAAATAGCAGGTTGATAGAAAGTGAGAATGTGATCCCAATTCTTACAGAAACATGAATTTATAGGGTGTCCTTATTCAAGGTAGACCAAGAGTCTACCTCTGATATGTTCAATAACAGCCACTGTGGAGTCCCTCTTTCCCTCTGGCAAGAATTACGTCAATTTTGAAAGCAACACTAAACAAAAGCAAGTCACCTCTACTGTTTTTGCTAAAAATATAATACAATGGTATTTTCTTCTATCTGTTATGAGGAAGAGATTGTCTTTCTAGAGTTCATAGGTTTCTTTTTAAAGAATAATCATCACTTTAATGGGAAAAACAAAATGAAAAAGAGAATAAAATACAAAAAAAGAAACTGAATTTCTCAAGAAGACCCTTTAGATGCTTCCAGGCAAAGACTTTCGGTCATTTTGAGTTCTTAATTCATATAAGTTCATAGTTGGGACCACCATGATTATCAGAGTTAGGTTGTAAAGAGGAAGAGTAAAATAAACTTTTTTCTTTAAATGAAATGTAATATACATGATATCTGCAACCTATCATAAGGTTAATTGCATAAAACTATGTTCTACTGTGTCTAAGACAGGAACACCGCAGTGAGACTGTCAAATGTCACAAACATGTTATATTTAAAAAAAAGTATCTCAAGGCTGTATTTTGAAATAAGAATTTATTCACCTTTTGCCTGTCACCAAATAGTTCTAATGGCATTGAACTTTTAGGCTAACTGGTAATTATCAATTTAAAGAAATATTTGGTTGATTGAATGTACAATTGCATTGGAAAACAATCCAGTTTTGAAATTTGGAACAAAAACAAAGCAGAAAATTGAGAAATATATTTATCATAAATTCTCAAGTTTAAGAAAAGCAAGTTTGTTATTGGTATATGGGGAAGCAGGCAGGAACCTCTGATGATATTAAGGGAACTTCTCAGTACTTTCTAAACCTTGAGGAATGTCTGTCATTGGCTTACAATTGGTCTAATATCACTCCAAAATTTGCTGTTTTTTTCTTTGATACAGGCACTACACTTCTTCCTAATACAATTACTGACTCTCAAAATAATGTAAAACAGAAATGGCATACCCTGAGGTAACTGAAGGAAAGTGTCTCCTATTTGCAATGCACTATGCTTGGTATTTTGCAGATATTAACTGAATAAAGACACAGAACAACCCTCTGATATAGCTAGTTATGGACTGGAGTAAAAGGAAACAGAGGATTAAGAATCACAACTATGTGTACATATGAGAAATATAATGAAAAAGGAAGACACTATGGATTTTCAAAGTGTATAATCCATTGAAAGCAAAGACAAAATGATGGAAATAAGGAACAAAGAAGAAAAGAAGAAAGAGAGAGAGAGAGAGACTGTGCCTTTCAGATACATGCCTTCAGCCAGCAGCAACCATTAGTCTCAGTTCAGTTTTAGATCTCACAACAGCCAGTACACTGTAAAACATTCAAGACTTGAATGTTTATGTTTAAGGCACCTGGATTGTGGTAAATAACCCTATTCTAGTTTCAGATTATCAATTGACTCTTCTCTTAATGAATGAAGTATTCAACACATTTACAAGTGCATCATTTTAATGTGTACATCTTAGAGGTTAGAAGACATTTTTATCACTGTTTGGTTTTGCATAATTCTTATCAATATGATTGCAGAGATATCCAAGTGAAGTGTGCGTCTACAATTTTTAAACATAACACTTAACTCACTCAAGGCAAAATATTAGTGAGGATTAGGACAGATTTTAGAGGGAATAGTTTGCATTTATAAACACTTTTGATAGTATCTCCATTGGAAATATACCCATACTATTAAAAATGTTCAATTAAGTTAATATCTATGACAATTCTGCTTTTTGGGTGTTGCAGTTGAATAGGAAGAAAAATAAGACATAGTCCTTAATTTCAAGTGTGGCCACTAGGGGAAGTGAATGAAAAAGTAGCAAAGTTAATATGTAAAATAGATCAAAAGAAGCTATATAATAGAAGACATATGTAATACAGACAAAATTTCTGTAATACAGCACAAATTGGTAAAAAAGCTTCTAGTGGTGGTTTCACTTTCCTTCTGCTTCAGGCAAATATCCCAATCTCTACCCTTTAGTTTCTTCATGAATTAAAAAATGGCAGAATAAATGGCCTCTAAGATCCATTCAAAGCCAGGAGACACATAAGAATTTCTAAATAGGAAAGAAGAAGATGTGGCAATCTATTAAGGAATGAGGGCTATGGACCCTTGCCTTAATTTTCATTTGTATGACAAATCAACTGTTTTTATTAAGATTATATATTCATTTGTGGTGATTTGAGGAAAGTAGGAACAATAGAAATGTGGACTGGGTTTTCAAATACTTTCATGTTACTTCCTATCTTTGTAGCTATAGCTGAACATTAACTTGTAAGTTATAATATTGTTTTAAATAAGAAGAGTTGTCATATGGAATCTAATTTTGACTTATTTTGTGGAATCTGGTTATGCAGCCAGGAACAATAGGTGAAAGTCCAGGAAAATTTTATTTGTCTTTTAAAGGAAGAACTTCAAAAGTGTTATTTCTAGATCTAAGTAGTTTTTGTCATTGGTGGATTTACAGAAGAGCTAGAGATATCATAAAAATTTATACAATAGACGAATGATTGAACCAGATGTGGGTCTCCTACAACTGTGCGATTCTATGCTTCCATGAGTAAAGAAAAAAGGGATTCATTCTGACTAGGTTGAAGGGTGAATACAGAGGAATAGAAGGGCATTCAAGGTGGAGGGATGCTCGAAAGCAAAAGCATAGAAACTGTTCTTACACAAAGCTGTTTAACACTCACTGTGTGCAAAAGGATCCAACTAATAAATAGAACTGGGAAGTGACAGGTTGATGTTAATGCTTCTGCATGTAACCTTTGCAGCAAGGTGAAAAATGAATTTGAGCAATTGTTATCACACATGGAGACACGACAATGAGTCCCACCAAGTTATGAAATGCCGCATAAGAACTTTGACCAATAGTAAATGGATTTTCATCCAAAGACTTATTTTGTTTACCTAAGTTATATCCTGATATTCTTTCTTGAATGGAAACGGTTTCTAAAGAGCTAGCATGCTGGAAACTGCACACAAACCATAGATTACTTTGGCAATATCTCACAGTAGTCTACTCAAAATGATATAGTGATCTGAAATTTCTAATGTTTGCTATACATGATTTTTACAGTAATATTTCTAAAACTTTTACATATTAGCACATTAGTACACAGTAGAAAAGAGAATAAAGAAAACATGGATACTACAATTCCTGAATTTTAGTAATAATCATGCATCGTATTGATAATTCAAAAAAGATAATGAACAAATTGAAAACAAGTGACGTCCAAAGATAAATGTAGGATAATGCTAATCATATTCAGGTTACGTAGTTACATTTTACATATATTTTAAGAAAAATTTATAATAAAGTCACTTTATGATTGAATTTTAACAGTACCCACTTTCTTGCCCAATAAACATTAGTTCAGGTGATCTAGAGGTACAGTGAAAACTCTTTAAAATTATTTTCATGTTTTTAAAATTAGTATTTATCTCCATTGTAAAATAAAACAACATAGAGATCTCAGAATGCCTGATTTCAAACTAGATATGCTTGTAAAATCTGAGTAAGCGCAAGTATGTTGACATGAATAGATGCAATACCTCCCAACAGATGCAAATGTTGGGACATATGGGTGTAGAGGCAGTGAGATAAATTTGAAGTTTACTGATTGTCTACAGTTTAAGAAGCTGGAGCAAAGCAATGCCACTGAATAGAGAAATAAATGTAGGAGATACTTGGAAGATAAAATCACAGGTTTTCACTCTACTGAAAAACTAGAATGTGAAAGAATGGATGGTGTAGTTTCAAATAAAATTGTTAATTATACTCTCACCAGTAGTTGAAAGAAGGGTGATATGTGCTATATAAGGAAAATAGAAGAAAAAAGCTAAAGAAAATTCTTTGGCTTGAAATGGTTATGTGGTGTAGCACACTGATGGAATTTTAGATTTAGAGCTCAAAAAATCTCAGAGAAAAAGAGAAATGTTGATCTTAAAAGTAAGAATTAAAGTTATGGATAAGAACAGAAAGTATGTTTAGGATGAGAAAAAGTCTCAAGGAAAAAATCTTAATAAAGACATAAATATGAGGAACAGATGGAAGATGAATTCCATTGCCCAGTGTTTACACCTAATGCCTCAAACAAAAGTGATCTTATTTATAAATATATTTTAGAGCAATGCTAAGATAAGCTACTCTGGGAGAAAGAATTGTAGTTAGAAAGGTATGATGAGAATCAAGAGGGTGGTGTCACTAAAGTCAAGGCCTGTCTGATGCTGTTGAGAGATCTCTGGTATAAAGTACAATGGTCTAAGGGGGAAAATCCACATCCTAGAAAAGTAAACTTGACCTTTCAGAATCTTGGTTTCTATAGCAACAAGATATAAAGGATGTATTTGATCAGTGGTTTTCAAATCCAAGTTATCAGAACATTAAAGTTCCACAGAGACATTTTGTTAGTAAAAGCATAATTCACATTTCATTTATTAATTATGTTTCAACTCTTTGAAAACAATGCAATAAAATCCATTCTCAAGTGTGTTAAATACCAATTCTTCTTAACACATTGTGGCCATGGACATGTTGGCTTCAGTTGCCATGTTAACTTTAATTTACACAAACCTTGGAATACATTTATCTGTGTGCAAATATTTGACATTCTTGGTAAATGAATCCTTGATTCAAATGTCATAGTTCTGCACTAGACTTTCAAAAATCCAAGCTGTGAATCTCCTTGACATAAAATTGTGTGGTTACAGTCCTGTGAATTACATCCAGTTAAATGCAGACAAAGCTCAGGCATATCTGATGACTGGTGTTCTCTGATAGTGTAAGACACGATTTCCAATAAAAGTGATGATTTGGCATATAATCTATCAAATCTTACACACTCCTCCATCTTTGTACACATCTTATCAGTCATTCCTTACAACATGACCTGGGTATTATGTATCCATTCAACAGATGAGAAAATTGAATTTAAATAACTTCACCAATGTCAGATATAGTAACGGGTGAGGTTTTTTTTTTTTTTTCCTCTCAAAAAATAACAGAGATGGATTTAATCAGAATAGTGACAGTGGGGAAAAATATGGAGTAAGGAGTCAATTAACCAAATTAATGGAAGTTAATGGAAAAAAATTAATAGGAGATAGGAGATACTTAGCAAACTTAGAGCATTTTAGATGCACCTACAAAAACATTTTTTGATTCAGTTTTTTTGAAATTAAAGTATTAGGCTTTTTTTTTTTTTAACTGCAACTCAAAGTCAATAAAAGCCATACATCCTTTGGCTTTATGGGGTAAAGATATCTCACAGTGTATAGGTTTAGCAGTAAAAGTTTGAGGTTTGATATTAATTCATTAGCTCATATGGAACCGTGACAAAAATAATTGTTCTTAATTGCCAAAAGCCCTAATCAGTATAGTGGGAAGAGATATATATAATAGAAAAGAACTAGCCTTGAGTTCTGCCTGGGCTGAAAGTTGAAAAGTCAAATTACTTAAGAAAGTGGACCTTCTGTGGGTGAATTAGAAAGGTTTTCTTTCAAGTAAATAGAGAAAAACATGAGACTATATTATATGTGACTTTATAGAAGAGAAATCTATTTTTAAAGTCATTGGATCTATTAAATGATAACTGGCCATGTTTACTCTTCTCTCATTATTTTGTCACTCTTTCCTGTGTTTTCTACGACATTTATGCAAATGATTTTATATTTCATATAAATGATGCCAAGCACAAAGTAACCCAATGGCTAAGATAGTAATTTATTTTTCATTGTATTTATGTAAAATTTCCACAGAGTACTATTTTAACAGTAATTCTTCTATGCATTTAAAGTTTTCACTTTATCAATGTTAAAAGAAGTTATCTTGGAGTCATGGAATTGCATATTTTATAAAAATTAAATTTTTATAAAAAAAGGAAATAATTAGGAATTATTTCTTTTTTTTTATAAAAATTTAATTTTGTTATAAGGATGTTTTAACATTTAATGCAAAAAGTAAGGAGTGCTTCGCTGTTTTTAAGAGGGTTCTGAGATAGAATGGAAAGGTCTCTGGGCTTGAAGAAGTCAAGTGTTTTGGAGTTGATTACTGCCTCTGCCACTTACTAATGGTGAAAAATTTTTCAAGTCAAAAGACCTCTCTGACCCTCTGAAGCCTAGCCTGTAAAATAACCACAATAATAACTATGTTCAGCATTTCTCATGAGCAATAAACAGCATAATGTTTGGAAATTACTTTGTGAACAGTAAATAACCACATAATTAAAAGGTACTGTTAAGGTATCTTTATCCCCCTTTCAAATAAAAATTTGTAATAGATACCAGGGCTCCTGTGAGGATGGATGGTGAAAAAAGCAAAATGAAATCAATGTTTTAGAATATTTTACCCAAATTGGAAAAGTGGTATTTTCCTGTTGCAGAAGATGACATTGCAGATGGGGAGACCAGAGGTGACTGGTTGCCAGTATCCTGTAGGCCTCCAGTAGAATGAGAACGCAACCACTCTTTGCCTTCTTCTTGGTTGGCCTGCCGGGATGATGGGGTATATCTGCAAAACAGCACAGCTAAGACACTTAGGCACATCTACAAGGGCAAGGCAATACCAGGACAGGAAAACAATTGAGAGGAGTTTCCTATTCAGAATGAACAACAATCTTAAACAGATTGAATCTAATTATAATTACTCAGTTCTTCCAGATGATCTTACACCATCTGTTTGAATCTCATAGGGAAAAAAATAAAGGAATTTGAGAATAAAATTATGCTTCTGTGAGATATGAAGTTGAAAATCATAAGCAATGAGCAAACAGCCAAGTTAATTGAGAAGGACTCAAAAGCACAGTACTTGGAAGCATGTAGAGAGTGTGAAAACACAGACTACAATGGTGGATAGGGTAGGCCAGAGCCATGGAAGTAGAGTGATGTTCACAGAAAGGCATAGGAAATGGAACACAAGTCATTTTTTTTTTCAATGAAAGACCATTCTTTGGTTAAAATGCCACTTGACATCATGTCTGGATTAAAAAAAAATAAGGGAGAGATGTACTCACTTTATTTGAAAATAAATTTATGGAACAAAACATTGAAATGGAATACTTGCTGTTTGCTTTTGCTAATAAATCAGAGAGAAAAAGAATAATGGGGAGAGATCTAGTTTGCCCATTACTCCCTGTTTCACTGAGTAAGTAAATGGTTAGCACTAAAGAGCAGCCAACTTATAATATTCATATAATGTTATGCCTCTAATAGTATTTCATACTATATCCCTTCCTCAGATAAAAGTGTGCAGTAAAAGATGGCCATAAATTAAATTTTTGTTTTATTTTTATTATGAAATGAATAATTATTTTGAGATTAAATGATATTAGATTAATTCAGATTTAAATTGATCTGATAGATACCAGTACCCCTGAAAAATAGAAATTAAAACTGTTTGTTTTAAATCAAAAGGATTCTATAAAAATCATACCTTAATTACAATATTTATCCTATGCTGATGAAAATATGTTTTCTTTGATTCAAATGAAACCATCCTTCAACCTTTCAACATTAAGTGGATACATCTGTAGGCTATAAGGGTTCTGAGGTTTTGCAAGCACATGCCTCCAAGATGCAAAAGTTAGGGAAGTTATTAATAATTTTATTTTAATTCGTAAAAGTGAGTTCTGCATTCTCCCAAAATTTGCTCTCCCAAAAAAGCAATGCCTGGGACAAGTTTTTTAAGAAGCCTCATTTCTTCAAAATAGCGGTATTCATTTTGTAATTTATTTAATTTGAGTCACAATCTGAACCTCTACCAGAATCTCTACCTGAGGGCTATCTCATCAACTCTTCAGGCCAGAGAAAACATCAAGATTAAAAGTGATTTCATCTTTATGTCAGGTGCTACATTGCAAACAAACAAAGAGGAAGAGAGACAGCACACAAAGTTTACATAACAACAGAGAGAGGAAGCAATTGTGCTGAGAGAAATATATACCTTAGTCCCTTTTTGGGTAGTGTATTTCTGTCAAGCTGCATGCTGTTAAAACAAAGAAAACCCCTAAGGACATAATGTAAACAAAACTTCCAAATTACACATCCAACAAAAATGATTCTCTGAACTACAAAAAATAACTTTTTGGTAACACAAACATAATGCTTAAATCATTGGAAAAGACTAAGGGTGATAAAAAGTCCGTTGCTGTAATACATGTTGAGTTTCTTCCTAATCCAGTACCATTCAATGATAATTTAGTGGTATGATTATTAGAAAATAGATTAAATCATGTTAGTATAATTCCCTTCTGGATTCTATTTACCTAATTCTATGGTAGTTTTCCTTTCCCTATGCAACTGACTAGACTTTTGCTATGATTTCACATGCAAGAGAATCATAAAAGTGGAACTGAGATAGATCTGTTCTGGCTAAATTAAAGTGACAAGTTCCAATGGACAGAGAATATACAAAACACCATTTAATACCTACCTATCTTTTGTCTTAAAATTATTTTTAATAAAAATATTCTTAATGTAACATTAAATAAGTTTATTATTATCCAATGGACAAATAAACATTTTTAAAATTTCTTAGCATTAAATTCTAATGTGGTAAATATCAATAGATATATAACCCATATAACCTAAAGTTCTTTGGAGTACTTAGTACAGGGATCCTTAGACCAAAATGCTTGAGAACTGCTGGCCTAACACATTATGCCCCTTCCTTGTTGGATCTGGCCAAAGCTTCCTGTCCGTAATCCTTTAACAATGACCCCCACACAACATATTCTTTATGTCAATTATGTAAAATGACTTACAGTTCCTTGCATTTGTCAAACACTTCTGAACCCCAGAGCCTTCTCACATGTCGAGGCTTTTACCAGGAATGAAAGCCCCATCCCTACCCCTCATCTTCCCGATCTGTCAAACTCCTTCAAAACTTGACGCAAGCCCTACCTCTTTGAGATCTGCCCACATTCCATGTGACTACTCTTCCCTGATCGTTGGATTTTTATTTTTCTCCCTAAATATAGTAAAATCCCTGGAGTAGGAAACTTTATTGTATTTATTTCTATCTACACTTTTGGCACATAATAGATGATCAGTT